CTGTTCCCCGATATTTCTACCCTCTCATTACCCTTCCATCTCACTTTTCACGCCCCTAAAACCCAAAATACCAGTCAAAACCTTTCTCTTCCATTCTGTACTGATATAGAAACAGGTATAAAAACAGCACTTTTTTCTGTCTATGCTGGGTGTCTGCACAAGGCTCTTTTTGCCCACTCTTCCCGATCTACCCTTTGAGAATGATGTCATCTGTTCACACTATCTTAACTAGCATCTGCACAGCAATGGCTTGTAAGCATGTCTATCCATCCACCTACTCCTGATTGCCTCCATATGGTACTGCTGCTTCTCCTGATTCTCTCTCCAGAAAACTTAAGCTTGATATGTTCACAACTCAGCTCCTTATCATTCCTCTCAAACACTTTTTGCAGATAAAACTTTTGCCATTATCGCTTCCTGTAATATAGAAAGTCTTTCGCGACCCTTTTGCTTGCGGTGGAACCACATATCCACCCTCTATCCAAAAATCCCGTTACAATCTTCCTCCGTGTATACATCTTTTTCTTTCTAACACTATAGCTCATCCAATATCTCCATCTTTGTTCTGGCACACACTGAAGAATTAGAAAGGGAGATGAAGATTCATCTGTTTAAATTTAGACAGGCTTCCCTACTTATCCTAAGTCATACTGAAAGTGAAGCAAGTAAATCTCTTTAATATATTAGTATTTATGCTTTCATTTCAGGAATCCTCTTTATCACGTCACCGTTAAGAGCTATGCTGGTATCGCTGGTTTGAAGCTCTTGGGAGGCAGACGACACAGAGACAGCTCAAAGAGCTCCAACAGTTGCCTCTCAGCATAGCCAGCTGGTACCGACTGAGCTTTGTTCAAAGTTTCTGCAATCTTTATTTAGGTATTTTCTGAATATAAAAGAGCACGGAATAGGAAGCATGCTAGACGAATACGCAGCCATTTTAAAAAATAAATAAAGTATGCTGTTACCTAAAGATAAATAATATATTGGATGGCTGTCTGAGAGAAAACAGCAAAGAAAAGAAATGCAGACATCTGAGTTACACAACTGCATTTTATAATTGTATTAACAACTTAAAAACAGAGGACTCCATCAAAATTTGACCAAAACTGCCATCTTAATTCAGCTGCTTATGTGAGAACCATGCTTTAACATTTAATACTTTACGAAACTTTAAAACAACAACAAAAAAATTTAAAAATCTTTAAAATCAAGAAAGAAAAAAAAAAAAGCCCCACACCCTACACTTATTTGAGATTAAAAACTACCAGCAGAACATCTTATACTCAGATATTCTTAAATTATTTGCTTCAGCAAACCAATTTTTAAAAAATATTATTTTGGGCTGTATTCTGAGTTTATTTGCAAGGTTTATTTCAGCATTGGTACTAATTAAAACAGATATTGTGCTACACTTCTCTTACTCCTCATTAAGTGGTTGTGATTCACAGTGGCTGTGATTCAGAAATAAGTTACCAAACAAAAAAGCGAAAATGAAGACTGCCCCTGCCCCTTGCAAAGTGAAGGTCAAGAACATCATGCAAGACGTCCTTACAAAAACCTGTGAAGTCTCTAGCAAAATTCACGTGGAACATACAAGATTTTTTATAGAAGTTAACGTTTCAACAAAATTTAACTACCTACACTACTACACATACATTGTACGTGGTGATGGATCATAAAATCATTCTTTTCCGATTCATGAATTAAACTGAATTATTAACCCATTTTAAGGGTCTGAATAATCTCTCTGAATCCTAATAGAAATTTTCCTAATATACTTGTGGGTACCAACTTGTCCTGAATATAATTTATTCAGGACAAGACCTAAATTTTCACTTGCATATAAACATACCAGGTGAAATTCAGCATGGCTCAAAGAGGCAGTTTTATTTCAAAGATGTTCTTAGGGAAAAAAAAAAAAAAAAAAACCAAAAAAATCACAAACGGAAAGTAGGCAAATTCAAATATAGATTGTTGGAAGCTTTTTAAGTAATAACCATTTAACCCCAGGTTTTTTTCAGTGTCATGTGGTTTCCAACGTACACAAAGTAAAGAGTGAAAAGGTAAAAATAAAACTGGCATAGCCTTAATATATTCCAGAATTCATAAATCATTTGTAAATTTAGTCCTTTTAGAAAAGAATCCTTATATAAATGGGGGGAGGGGGGCATCAATCCCCTATATGAAGCACAAGTGAAGCCCAACATCACTGACCAATCACAATTAGTGAATGCACTGCATCTCTCTGCAGTGAGGAGAAGCGACAAGGTAGGCTGTCATTCTGCAAAAGCTGCCCATCGCAAGCTTTCCTCTCAGAAGCACTGCTTTTCTTTTTTAGAAAGCTTCAATCTCAGTGGTGTCTCTGGAGACAAGAAGCCTTCAGTATGTTAAATTACTTTCATTATGTATTTTCAGATGCTTATTGATTCTACAGTAGGAAGAGTGGGAGACTGCAGCAGCCTGTAAACCAGAACTAAAGCAGTTGTATACATTAGCAGTATGCTGAAACAATGGCACAGTACAGGCACAAATTTTCATTAAGGTCATTTTTTGAAGATATGCTTATTACCCTCTTTCC